AATCTTATCCCTTCATAAAAAATAACACCTAGAGTTTTGCCTCGATTCTTTCATACACATTTGAAAAAGCCCTTTAATCTCCACGGCAACCATTTAGCAGTGCAAAATGACTTGGTGGACCAAGCTCCGCCTTCTAGGCTCAGCTCCTCCTCAGAGTTGCACCTTACAAGCTTCTGCCTTACAGAGTGGCCCTCCCCTACAACTTCCCTGGCTATTCAGCTCCTTCAAACTAGCCAGCAGCAATTAGCAAAGAGATAGCAGAGCTGCACATCTGCTGACCTCATTATTCGAGCTACTTCTGGCAAAAATGTTGTGATAACTTCCTGAAGGCGGAGTTTCAGAAACAGCAGGAGTTTTTAAAGGGACAGAGTCCCAATTTCAAGGTGCTACATTACAAAATCTGATTTCTTATAAGTTATATTAGATATGTATATCATTATTATAACAACTTAAGTTAACATAGTTACTTGATTCCGCAATTAAATGTTACTATGTGGCTAGAAAATAGATAATACTGCCACTTTAAAGTTTATACTGCAGTCTAATAAATATAAGATTGCACTGTAACCTGGTGTATATCTAAAACTGACTTTCAAGAACATAAATATTGTGATTACATTAAAAGATGACAAAATGCAAGCTGACGTATTCCTCGATTAATAATTAAAGTGATGTTTAATATATATATATATATTTATTGGTTCTAGTCACAATTTAAAATTATTATTTTGGTTATTTCTTTACCTAATGTAAGTTTCATGCCCAGTACATTGTGCCTATTTAATAAGGAAAATTTGGTTTTGGGACTCAAATAATTGTTCAGGGAAATAATCTGTCATTATGGTTAATGCTATTTATCTATCTATTATAAATAGACAGGCACAAACAGGGATCACAATCACAACAAATGGAAAGAGAGTAGCATAAAATCTTGAACAACAAACAGAAAAAGAAAAAAAAAAGCTTTGAGCTTTGACTTTCTTTCAGTCTTTCTTCATGACGTCAGTCCTCACATCTCTTTACCAAGTTGCACACAGAAACTGCACTTCAATACATCTTCAAGTTTAGTCATATTATTTTATTTTCTCATAAAAAAGTAGAGAAAATTGCTAAAATCATAACAATTCCTACAATACAGACATTGGTTGAGGTTTCTACTTCAAATTATTAAATTAAGAAAATACTTGATCCCAAAGCGAAATTAAAATGTTAACTCATAAACGTTGTCATTTGCATTCTATTGTAAATCCCAAGTCTTGGCATGAAAAGAAATGTTTCATAATAACTACGTGACAAACGCCCATCCCTAGTGTTACATGTTTATTGTTAAATAAGAACCTAAGGATTTGCTTTGAACCTGTGTGTGCAGACAGGCACGAGATCACCAAACATTTTACTTCTTCCTACTTCCGTTTGGATTTACACATTTTGTAGAATCATACAAGTATGTTTTAAGATTCAGTTAGCAGTTTAAAATGCTTATTTTCTGTTCTTTTTAGCCACACTGATTACAAAATGTAATCTATTTTTGAGAGTCATTATCAGATTAAAAGTATATTTTAAAAATACCTAAATTTAAGCAGATACTTTTCTTTATAAGAAATGTTTTGGGGTGTTTTAGTGATTGGTCTGATGCAATTCCCTAATTGTAATGTAGTGTCTAATTCACTGTAACTGGAAAGTAATGATAATTAACAGAAAGGTCAGAACGTGTCTTTAGTGAATTAACTTTATGATACAGTCTGAAAGAAATAAATATCAATCAAATCTTATTTGTTTAGCACATTTCAGAAGCAAGGCATTTCAGAGTGCTTTACATCATAACACAAAAACGCAAAGTCATGCAACATAGAATCAACAATCAAAACATGACATTAAGTCAAGTTTCATCATTAAATTAGTAATTGATTACGTTTCAAATGCAACTCTAAACAGCTCGGGTTTTTAGTTGAGATTTAAAGGAAGTCAGTGTTTCAGCTGTTTTACAGTTTTCTGGAAGTTTGTTCCAAATTTGTGGTGCATAGATCCTGAAATACATATTACACCTGAGAGGAAGGCTTCACAAAATCAAACTGACAGCACAATAATTCAGCTGATGTGCATGAAAATGTAATTATATATAGTACAAAATGTATACTTAGAAATTACATACTAGTAATCACTTTAGATTCACATTAAATATGTTTTCAAAAAGAATTTGTTACATTAGTAGTTCACTTTTGGTGAGTAATTTATGCATTGCATTGTGCATAGCCAAATGCATTTCAAATAAACAGCTGCATTTTTCTTCAATAACCTATTTCAGTTGTTTTTATGGTGAAAACACACCGAAATGTCTGCATGACAAAGTGTTTGAATATGTTCGAGTTAAAATTGCTCTACATCCCAACCTGTTTGCAGCTCAGGTAGATTTATGAGCCACTCCTGACTTCACCTGAGGCAGCATGACTCATAAAGCACGCCAAAAACCAAATAAAACATGACATCAAATGCCTGTTTTTACTTCTAAAGTGGGAAAACAAGCAGGACATTTCTCCCAAATTGAGTCCGGGGACAAAACAATAGCCAGGTGAAGCTGGGACTCAGTTCCGCTTGGATTGTTTTCTCTTCTGGACATTTTTTGTTGTTGTTTTTAAACAAACTAAATTCGCCTCGATGGATGCGGATACGAACTGAGAGTTGACTTCTTGTTAAATAAAGCGCCGCGCAGACAGTTTAAATTAAAAACTTACCGAGCGGTTGGACCGTCGCTTCTTCGAGCCGCGCAGGAACATGATGTCGGTTGGACGTTAAAAGACACTTTTAAAAGGTGGGGGGTGGGGGGAGACAAGACGGGAAAGAAAAATACTCGATAAAGTCTAAAACAGTCGGAGTCTACTGTGAACTACATGCTGCTTCCCTGTGGAATCCCCCGGACTCTTCATCCCCAGTCTTCACTGAACACTTTTGGCTTCGGATCAGATGTGAAAAGTTAGCTTGAAAACTCACCACTTCCGGGAGGACTTCAAAATAAAACGCACTCTTACAAACTGCTTCCGGATGTAGACAAAATAAAAGCAAAATTATGTTGCATAGAGGTGCTTATATAAACAAAATACATCATCTAAAATTAAATTATTTCATTAACATCAACCTCCTACATTAAATATATTACATAAACATGTTTAACACAGCAAAGCATGTCCATATTCTGGGAGGTTTGCTCTCCAAGTCTTTTTTATACATGAATTTCTCCATCAGAGGAACTTGAGGTACTCAGCCTGCAGTTGTGATTAAGTTTTAATGAAGTCCAGGTTATTTAATAAAAGCTTTCACCTCATTTGCATTGTTAATTCTGAATCCTTTCCTCTACTTCCATAGATTCTCAACAACAATTGGGCCAATGTGCTACTCAAACAAACACAGTACAATATTGTTGTTATTTAACCAATTGTTTGTACTTTAGACAGTATATTGAGATGAATAGACTTAGTGCAAACTGTAGAGAGAGTCTTCATGATGCTTGTTAACAAAGGGAAGCATGAAATGCTTTAAATTTTCCTGACCCCAACTGACCTAATCTACTTTCCTTTTGTGCCTTTTCTCTTTTCCCACAAACTCTGGGAACTTTATTGCCTAATGAGATGTAAAAATTTTATTTAGGCTGAAAAGAGGACAGTTATACCACAGTATTTTCCTCCTCTGAACTTTCTGTTTACATATTGTTAAAGTCTTTTGTATCTTCCACACCATATTCTGGACCATTATGCAGGTCATACTATGGTCAAAAATGCACAACTGCATTAAAGGTGCTCATTTAAATTGGTCTTTATGTAATATTGAATACTAAATTTTGGGTTTTCTATTAGTTTCAATCCATAATCATAAAAATGACCAGAAATGACTAAAACTATCCCACTTTGAGTAATAAATATGTATAAATGTGCATCATGTGTATTGACATTGAATTTGAAATTATTTGAACACACTTTTAAAGAATAGTCACAAAAAATTTATATTACCTAATCTTGTTCTCTGGGAATAAATGTTTCCACACCAGTTCCTCTGATTTCATAGTGACTCCATCACTGTAAATATATCCTTTGAATTAAATTTTAAAATAAGATAAAAATTATTCCACAAAGAAATCTGAAAAAACAAAAGTCAGATTGGGGAAAGCTAATATCATCATCATGCTTTTAAAAAGCCTTGGAAGCAGTTTGGTGAATGCTGGCATGATCCCAAAAAGGGGATTATCATTCCACTGCAGGGCTTTAAAATAACATGAATGCAATTGAAAGGTACTAAATAAAGGAAGGGATTTTAATGATAATAGAAAAAAAAACATAAAACAATGTAATCTCAGAATGAAGCATGGGGGCAGCATGGATGCACTCTCTCTGTAAAAAAAGAAAATCAGATTAGAGATCCCTGGTGAATACTGGCCTCCATGAACTGAGATCCTCACTGGAATCTATGTGAGATCATTTGTTTTTATTCATTATACCAACAACAGGGATTACCAAAACTACTGAATTGATTCTGGGTGATTTTCAGAGGTGGGCAAAGTACCCAAGTAAATAAGAGCAACACTACTTCAACATATTTTTACTTAAGCAAAAGTAAAAAGTAGCCATCCAAGAAATTACTCAAGTAAAAATGACTATTATTTCTCAAGTAAGAGTAAAAAAGTATTTAGTAAAAAATTCTATCATCAATAATCTAATACTTTAAAATAATATATTCAGACAGAGCAAAATATAAGGTTAAGAGGAAATTTGGGTATTTTAAGGACGAATATAACAGAAATTCATATAAGTAGCAAAAAGTAACAAAATCAGGCAAAAGGCATTTTTTCTTTAAATAAAAAATGCATAAAGCTCTTAACCAATTCTTTATTGCAAGTTTGCATGTCATATTTGATAATCAGTTATTGACTGGCTCCATCTAGTGGCAGTAAGAAGAACAACAACTTAAAATTCACATCCAACAGTCAAATGAAAGAAACTCAGGACAAAAGATAGAAGCGCTAATAGTCTTTATTGTAATGACGGTTTATTTCTCAAAGCAAACAATAATCTGAATATAAAGATACAAACTGCACAGTGTTAGAAAAAAAAACATTAGAATGACAAGATTTTCCTCCAACAACAAATTTCTATACTTCTGTCTCTTTTAGAGAACAGGGACAAACAAATCTCAAGAGAACGATGGCTTTCAAGCTTTTAAAAATGTGTTACAGATCTATAAAAAAAAATCATAACCTGAGCAAGAATAAAAAGATGAGTGAAAGTGAAGGAGGACGACATAATCTGTGTGGTTTCAATCAATTCAGAATGAGTCAGTATCGAATATACAAAAATCGGAAAAATGTTCTAAAAACCAAATCAAAGAACATTTATTGACAAATGACCACAGAACCCATCAATTGTTCAGGACTCAGGAATCAAAAGTGAAAAAGGATAGAAGTACAACTACATTTTTCAAAGATTTAGTTAAAAGGTTATGAGCTGTCAATGTCTTCCATGTAGTAGACAACTTCCATATTATTCACTTTGATAAAATAGATTGGAAGATGAATAATTGTAGGAATAATGAGTAATGTAGCATCAGATGTAGCATCAGAGATGGAGGTTGCTGTAAAAACTGAAATTCAAACTTTATTTTCACTGCTTCTGTTTGCTTCATACAAATAAAAATGTTGGGAAATTTCCAGCAATCCAGTCCTGTGAAGTTTAAGCTGTATGTATTGAGGCAACAGCGCCCTCTGGAGTTACAATATCGCAAGTTTTAATCAGTTGCATTCTTCCCTTTCAATCCATTTGGTCTTTTTATGGTTAATTGTCTAGGAATCAATGCTTTTTCTGGTGTCTGATTGTGTTTTTCTTAGACACAAAGTCCTGAAAGGCATGCTGTTCTTCTGCTAGTGCTAATGCCAAATAATACTTTCATCTACAAATCATATGTTGCTGATAGCCGATTAAGCAATAAATCACTTAATTGTATGAGTTTGATCATTTCCATTTGCATGATTGATTGGTTTTTGTGTCCCTCTCTTTCTACCAAAAGGTGGATGAAAAATGTCTCCAGCCTACTTGTCTAAATAGGCTCTTATTTCAAGGATAATTATCTGTACGGAAACTTCAGTACCAAAAAGGCTTGTGGCAGTACCAAAATGTGGCAACAAAGTTTAAACAAAATGCTTTAGAAAGCAAGAGATAAGCTAAACAGTACCAGTGCCAAACCAAAGATCAATTTTTCGAGATAAAACACAACCAACTGAATCCAGCACCTCTGTTGTACTGTTAGCCGCTAATAGCTATGTGCCTTCTCATTCTCCTAATGTAACAATAAATTACATTAAAAATGTCCATTTTCTTTTAAATGGATTATCTCTGCATCTCTGATTTATTAACACCATGTCGATATTGAAAGTAGCTCTTCGTTTATTTGTTTCTCCAAACGGCCAGATTAGCTTGACGCAAATCCATCAAATATGAGCATCTTTGCAGCAAAAAACAAAATAGCTCAGTATTGATGAAGAAGAACTAGCTCTTTTTAAGATTATTTCACTTAAGACATTTTTCCAATGTTGTACTGCCAAAGGAAGTAGTGCTTTTTCATCAGTATTAATTGCTAAACAAGCTCCTATTTCTTGCTGAAAATCTATTGCAAGTTAGTTTTGTCTTATTTCTGGTGTTCTAGGATGTTTTTCTAGAAACTAGACCAAAATAGTTGTTAAGATTTTCTGTTTTTGCTGTGTTTATTGAGAAGAAAGTTTTTTATTTACAGAAAACAGCCAACCTGGGTTGTTGAGCCTTTGGCTTAGTTCAAGATTTAATCTAAGTGAAAATACCAGGAGAGTCAATTGATGTTGGTGACATGTTTATTGCTCATGACCTCTTAACATACCAAAACAGAGACACTGTATTATAATATTTAACTGACTGAGAACACTTTTACAAAAAATAATATTGACAGCAATGAGAAGACAAACATTATTCTTTTTTTTAAATAACTCCTAATGTGTCAGTTACCTCTGAAGTCCAAATAACACGATTAATATTTCCTACAGCAGTCCATTAACAGTAGAGAAAAGTATTAGAAAATCTATTTGAAGAGACCAAACAGTCTTTTGTTACCTTATTAATGTCAGGTTTTCCTGTTTAGTCGATGGTCAGTGTTGGTCTGAACAAAAACTTGGGTTTTTTTCCCCACACATGCACACACATGCAGACACAGATGTACAGTACAGTGCCTCTCACTTTGGTTCTGTGGTATTCCTCTCAGGCACGGTTCTGAAATACTTCTCATTTATTCACACCATACAGTTGCAATGATTAAAACTGTGACCTGGTCATTTTACTGTCCCATCTCCCCTCACTGAGCCGCTCTTCTCTGTTTTTGTGTTCCTGCAGCGTCGATGACAGATGCGTGGACTGTTTAAGCTGTGCTGCCTGGAAATTAATGTAGAAAAGGAACATAAGTATGTTTTACATACCAACAGGAAACATATATATACTGCATGAGGTTCACTGCAAAAACACAAAATACTACCAAATATGTTTGGTCTAGTTTGTACACCAAATATATTGTGATACTTGAAATAAGACAAAACTAACTTCCAAGTAACTTTTCAGCAAGATATAGAAACTTGTTTTAAGTAAATAATACTTTAAAATTATGGGGGAAAAGTACTGGTTCCATTGGTAGAAGTTTTTTTTTTCACTCATTGGAAAAATGTCTTACATAAATGATAAAATTTGCCAGTGGAACTGGAACTTTTTATCAATATTAAAGGATTATTGACTTAAAACAAGATCCTCTATCATATAACTAAGTGATTTTTAGACTAAAATACTTGGTAAAAGTTTGCATTTTTGCAGTGTTTGTGTCACAGGGGAGATTTTGGATGCATTGGTGAATAAACACGTGTTCCTACCGGAGCCTCCGGTTTGCGACCTGGCGCTCTTGATTTGCAAGTAGATGGTGTACGTGTCATATGCAAACAGGAGACCAGCGAGCAAGCCGAACACCTGAGAAATACAGCAAACAAGAATTTTACTAACACTAAAACAAAAGCTGTTGTTTTGGATTCTTGTTGGTTTACTTATTATCTGCATTTGCTTTTATTACTTTCTTAATTAGATCCGCCCTGTTTCCTTTGAACTTTAGTACAAACGTTAGTTTCGATTAAGATTAATGGAAACTGTTTCAGTTTTTATTTTAAATCATTTACATCCCTTTCTCTTGTTACTTCTCTGTTTGTGTCAGACTGCAAAATAAACACCAACAGACATTTTCAGACACAAAACGAACTTCCCTTTAGGTTCATAGAAAGAGCCACCGCATGTTCAAATGAACTAACACGAACTAATTGAGCTGAAAAGAACTACAGCTCAATTATTTCAGTTTTCATTTTAGAATAAATCATTCAGTCCCATACAAACTTATTTTCTGTGATATTATGGCTTAATTAACATGAACATTGTTTTTTTTTCTTTAATCATATTTTCAGAAGAAAGATTCCAGCAATGATGATTTTTTTTCTATTTCATGCCCAAAAGAAAAGATGTTTTCCACAATTGCGTTAATTTATTTTTATTGTCAGATTGTACACATGCTGAGCTGTAACTCAGGTGTTCTGTCGCAACCTAATCGGATGCAGATGGTTGTCACCTCATGTTGCAACCCAGCCAGAGATCCACAGCATAGAGGAAGGATGTGGGTAAAAAAAGGGAAGCTCGCTTTATTTTGAAATCCAACAGCAATAACATCTGAATACAGTTGGAAATTAGCAGTACTCCTACAACGCTCATTTCAGACTAAAAACACTTGAAACATTTTGTTCCTTGTTGCTCCTGTAAATTCTTGTCCTTTAGGTTTAAAGTATCTTTTGTGAATATTTTTTTTATTATTTTGGTTGGGGTACGCAATAAATAAGAACAAGTCGATACAAGGTTCTGACTTTTTTCTACTTCTGTGCTTTTCCACACCTTTCCCACTAAACCAGGGGTGTCAAAATGCGGCTCGGGGGCCATTAGCAACCCTTGGAATAATTTTATGTGGCCCCCTGACCATAAATTATGTATTTTTTAAATAATCTGTGAAGATGCGCGTTTTCATTTACCAATTTAAATATCTTCTTAAATGGAAACAGTTGGGTATTTTTTTTCATTAGCCATGTTTTTTTGCCTTCATTTTAATATCAATCTATGTACAGTCACAAACGCTCGGTGACTATTTACTGAAAAATTACTGATTTAACCTAACTTAACCTAACAAAATAACAAAAACTCAAATTGAGAAGACATTTTCATTAACTGAAAAAGTAAAAACCTTAATGAATAATGAAAAACTGTAACTAAATGGAACTATAATGTGTGTTTATAAAACTAAAACATGCTGAAATTATAGATATTACATTCTTTACTTTCTTGTTAATGAATCCATTTATTGGCCTTTCGAACTGATATGAAATTAATTAATTTTTCTCCCAACCAAGCAGTTCATATCTGCTGTTGGCAAATTACAATTCTCCTTGCGACGCTTATGCTAGTCCGCAAAATGGCGACAACAAAAGTTGGGAGAAAACAACAGCAATTTTTCGTTACATGATCACAGTGCAATACTTTGACCTATTTTAATTCCACACCTAAAAATTTACCAAAATATGAAAAAAAAACTAAAACTAACGAATAAAAACTAGCAAACAGATGCTAAAAACAAAAAAAAAAACTAACTGAATAAGACCAACAAAAAGTTACAACGAAACTATTATGACCTTGGTGGTGCCACTCAGTTTTCCACACTCTGATAAAACCTTTGAAAAGAACTACAGTAGTCTTTGAAGTTGAACAGGAAGGAAATGTGGGATGTTATCAGAGTCTCAGAATTAGTCAATTGTGACAAATAGCTGCACTGAATCATGGTAAACAGAAATTTTTTTTTCCTGCATATCTCCCTAGAAACAAGTCGCATGGTAAACAGTCGTCAAAAACAAACAGTGAAACCCAGAATCAGGAGTATCAGAGCCGACGTGAGACGAGCGAACTGACCCCGCCTGCGATGAGCGCTCCGTCCCCGGCTCCTCTGATGACGCAGATGAGCGACGTGATGAGGTAAACTAGAGTGCCAGTAAATGCACGGATAAAGTCCTGTAGGAAAAAAAAATAGGAAAAAAAATCAGAACATAATGCATTGAGCGCCACAGAATTGCTTTAAAATGTGTTTGCTTATGAAGAACTTACACTCCAGACCCAGCTGACGGCTGTAAACTGCTTGTCCAGGTCCATCATGAAGACGCAGAAGAACACAATAGCAAAGCACATCTCGCAGATGGCAACAGCAGTGTAGCCGCCATACCAGGACGAAGCATAGCAGATAAGGATTATAAGACTGAGAACCTGTGAAAACAAGAAAAAAAAAAGTTCTTCAGTGAGTCAGTGATTTAAAATTTAACCTTCAAGCATCTGCAACAAGCAGACAGATTTACAATAATGGGTCATTCCCTCAGCAATTTTCCGTTATGTAGGGAAAAAAATCTGCATGCATTCTTCTCCAATCAGCAAAATGCTGCCAGTGCACACAAATCACAAAGTCAAACAGCCTGGAGCTCATTATGGGCCTGTTTTCTATAATGTGGCTCTCAATGTGAAGGCAAATGCAGTCACACATCCAAACAAATTCCATCAGGAATCTGCTGCATAAAAACTAAAAGACGACCTGTAATCGCTGCGAGATGAAACATTTTGTGCAAATAGATGTATCAACATTTAAAAAGAAAGAAACATATGGGTGCATCAATAAAAAAACATTATCTTATCAGGTACTTTTGCTCTAGTTTCTACTGAAAATGTTAGCACCCTTCAAATAAAAAAAAGCTAATTTACAAGTAACTTTTCATCAAGTGTTTCACTGAAAGAACAAAAATGAAGCTGATAGAGACAAAAATATCTTAGATACCTGCTATCTGAATTTCTCAATAACATCCAGCTTGTTAAATGTGTAAAAACCTTGTGAAGTTAGCATTAAAAATTGTGTTCTTCTTCTGAAATAAATAAATAAATAAGAAAACAGATGCTAAAGTTATTTTTTTAAAATCAACAACAAAACACTTGTCTTTTGCTTCATACTAATGTGCTGGAGCTCTGCTGGGGTTACTAGGTAACGGCGGAACTCTGCTGGGGTTACTAGGTAACGGCGGAACTCTGCTGGGGTTACTAGGTAACGGCGGAACTCTGCTGGGGTTACTAGGTAACGGCGGAACTCTGCTGGGGTTGCTGGGTAACCCCAACGTCGCTCAGGTTACTAGGTGAGGTTCAGTGCCTGCTAATTTGTAATTTTACATTTCAGAGGTTTATTTTCCAGACACTAAAATCATTAGCTTATACATAATTCCAAAAAGTCTGAACCGGAAGTGATCTGCGTCACCTTAATAGGAGAATGCATGACGGACTACTTGGCGAACAAGAAGAGTGTTTGCCTGAAATCTATGGACGTATTCAATCAACGTTTAAACGGGTTTGTAAAGGACGTACGAGCTCTTTAATAACAAGGTTCCGGTTCTGGCAGATTAAGTACACGAATACTACATATCCATCTTAGCTAGCATATAAGCTTTAGCTAAGCTAATTTTGCTAGCACTGTAAGTGCTACAGTAAATATTCCTGTAGAAGTGATATTTATTTTAGTATTACACAGAGGTGGGTAGAGTACTCAAAACTTGTAATCAAGTCATAACTGTGATACTCATATAGTTCATAAGTTAAGAGCTAAGCGAGAGCTGGAGTTTGAGGGCTGTTTATTGTTGTCATAGCAACTGGCTGCTAAAATGGCTGCCAGTCACAAAGTTCACAAAGGTATGACGGTACATGAGAACTAAGTATTCCCAAAAAAACGGGTGGATGCTTTTTCAGTGCTTGGATTGTTTTTAGAAGCAGACCCAAATGGAAGCATAAAAACATGGCAAATGTAAATGTAAACTCGTGTTATTGAAGGATCAATAAGTAGAGTTTAATGCCATCTAGAGGTAAAATTGCAGACTGCAACAGTAAAATGTCTTCAGCCCTCCAGGTATGACTAAAAGCTTGTCTTATGCACAGTTTTATTCTAAGGCACAGACAGCCTGGCTGACAGTATCAAATCCCTGCAGTCTACATGATACAGGCATGACCGAAGTGAGCAGACACCAGGCTCACATCTGTCACTACTACCTCAAATGCCGCCCACAGGCAGCCAGCCAGCAACTCAGAGGCATCAGAAGTTCATGTGTTTCAGGGACTGGCACAGGCTGCCTCTGTAAAGCAGCGAAAAGGCCAAGGCCAAACCATAACGCACAAAAGGAGCTTTATTCAGGACAGAGCTGGCTGAAGAGGCCGTCATACAGAAAAACACCCACCATTCCACACAGAGGACTCCCTGAGAACAAAACCAGCCTCTGAGTTGTTGACACCTTCATGTTGAGCTGCACAGGCTGGGATCTGTCCGCAGCGTTTCAGGATCTCAGCCGGAGTACACTGGCATCAGAGTAATGATGAGCTGCTCGTTTTAAACCGACTACAGGGAAATTATTGCAAACTTTTGGCTAATTATAGTGAGCCGCAACACGAGCCCCAAGAGCTCAGCCCATGCATGGTGCAGATACCAACTAAACAGCAACAGTTGCTATGGAAGCCGCCTTTATTTTGAAGCACTTTTTTCATCCCCAAGCACAAAGGAAAGTGGAAATAGTCAGAGTAAAATCATGAGGGAAGTTTTATTTAATCACTCTTTGAGCAAATTCTGACTTATTACATAAGTCTTATTTTCTAAATTCACAGAAATAAAACTAAACAGGCACCTTAAATTGCATGTATTGTCATGTTTTAGAGGCAGAAAGCTTAAAATCTTGACAGTATAAAAGATAAATGAATGGGAATTTATTCTTGCGATTGATTTTCAAAGAAAATAAGTCATTGTTGAGCCACAAATGTCTCCAAGACTTTTACTTTCTACTTTGTTTCCTTAATAATCAAGTTTATAATAGTAATGTGATGAATTGATGCTGTAGCACCAAGTACTTTAGAAGAATATATATATGTATATATGCAGGAAATGTGAATGTACTTCATGGAAACCACCACAGATTGGATGGAGGGAAATTACGCTCTGCTTTTTGCTCCAGGATTGTTAACTCGACTGGAAGCAAAATTCCAACGTCGAGGGAATAAAACAAGGAAAAAACTGATAGTTGAACAGGAAATCAACAGCCAGACCGTTGAAGGGGCTGCAGCTGCTATGACATTTATCAAGAAAAAGATTTTTGGATTTATAGATCCAAAAACTATAGCTCTAACTATAGATAGTTAGATAAAGCTGTAATTTCTTTTTAAGCTGAAGAATTGAGTGTGGCTGAAACTATTAATCAGATTCATCGAGGTAAATTTTTTAGAATTTTGTATTTTAAGTTTTGTGAACAATTATATGTAGCTCAGATTCACCATAGAGAATTTTTTAAATTTCTCTGTAGGGCACCGGTTTGCTGAGTCTCCAAACTGCCCAGATCACCATGCAAATCCTCATTTTATTACCTCAAATTTGAACTGGACACTTTTCTGTTTTCACTTTTTTCTTGGATGAGCATTGTTTTAGTTACTGATGCCAAAGTTTGGCGTTTCAAAACACAATATCTGTGTGTGCTTTTTTTTTCAGGCTTCATTTTAACAACTGTTGTGAGCTACAAGTCTAAACAGACCTGGAAAAGTCAGGCTTTAGAAATGAATAAACCCTTTAATAGTGACGTTATTAACGTTAAGGTTGAGATCTGTCATCCCAGCTTATCTCTGCACCGACAAACATGAAGAAAAATGTGAACTCCCTCGCACTGGGTGTGTGACTTGCACACTAACTTGCAAATGTAAACGTGTTCCAAAACAATCATCATGACTATGACAGGCGGAGAAGTAATTCCATATGAAATAAACGATGATTAGAGCTTCACATTTCCCAGTTTTTCATCAGTATTCCCAACAATTGATGCCAAGAGGCCCATTTCCGTCCAAACTGAAACTCCTCTTAGTTAGCAGTAAAATGTTCTCCTTCCTGTTTTTCCTGTGGGATTGAGGGAGCAGTAAATGTTTTCTAAACTATTTCAGAAATCCTGCCTGATTTCTCTGCCTGAAGTCATCCTTGAATGGAGCAGCAGCCGAGATCCGGGTTAAACGCTTCTTGGATTCCTTGTTCCAAGGCCTAATCTTCACTCCAGTCTGGAATTTCCATTACTACCTTATGAAGAAAAAAAAAAACGGAGGGAAACTTTTACAGTGGGTGGAGTTCAGAGAGGCTGTCTTTAAAATTAGCTTGTTCCATTTGGGACCAGGGAGGCACAGACTGAGGGGTTTTCTTGCTTTCAAAAAGCACAGTTTTACATTTACTTAGCTTGGCATTTGAATTTCAAATTGTGTCTCAGATGGAAAAAGTGATACAAGGAAATCTTAACATGATGTAATTAAATGAGCGGATATTAGTCTTTCTCAATGATTGTTTGTGAACACAACATTACAGGTGACCTATAATGCTTCCTTGAACTGGTTAGATTAGGTCTCAGGACAATGCAAAGCACAAAATTATTCTGAGAAAATGAGATGTTAGTCAACAAGAATATATCAAGGTGTTTCTGGATGGTAAGTTGACAACAAAACACTTTTCTTTTCCAGCAGCTATCGTACAGCGCACAAAGCGGTAAAACCAGCTGACCAAACATGCTGGAACTCAGCTTGTGTTGCTAGGTAACAGGCAGGGCTTCACTGCGGTTGCTAGGTATTTTTTTAATGTTTTGTTAATACATTGATATGATTCTCTGAGCACAACAAAACTATCAAAACTGTAAAAACTAAACCATGAATCTCAAGTATTCCTGGTTTTTAATTATCCAGGGGAGGCTGGTGATTCCTAACTCCTATAAATACAACAGCATCGAAAGATTGAGACTCTGAAGACGTTTGCAGTTATGACAGAGAAAAATACTGTAAAAATAGAAACGTAAGATAAGCAGATAAGACTCCACCAAACCAGCAAGTGTGTTTAAATATATAAAAAAGTTACGGAAATCTCAACATCAGTAAATACAAAACCTCACACCACTAGGAAATGCAAACAAATGCATTCATGCACCAAAAATAGAAAAAAAAATGTGGTTAAGAACAGAAATAAAACAATATTCCCTGACAGGAAGTGGTTATATTTTGCCATGACTACAGATTTCTTTTCAGGTGTTGCTTGAGTTGTTCCATTCTCACTGTTGTGGTTACGAATTTACAAGTTAACCAAAGCAAGATGTGCATCATTTCCTTTAAGTTATGTCATGTGCATTGCACATTTGTGCTGTTCATATTTAAAGAAAAGATTAAACATATAGAATGGCATCAAGAATAGTTGGCAACAAGATGCCCAACAAATAACAAGCTAATCTGTTTCTCCATGAAGAGCTGAGAGAAAAAATGTATATGCTGTATAATAAGTGCAATAAAACTACTGCTGAACTTGTTGGCTCGAATGTAGTAATGGACAACTGCTGCTGTTGGAACAATTCTGATTTTGTTTTAATCAATTAAAAACAATTACGTCATCGTTTTATCCCACAATGAAACCAGTACAATCACATCCCGCAGCATGACTGCACCACCACCAGGACAACTGTGTGTTCAGAGTTGACTTTCTGTTGCACATAAACTGCAAAAACAAAATTTGACAAAGTATTTTCTCTAGTTTGAAGTGCAAATAACTTAGTAAACTTGAAATAAGACCAAACTAGTACATTCTAAGACAGATTTAGGAGCTTATTTTAGTAAATAATTTTTTAATCGTGGCTTATTAATGAAAAACTAAGTTCCTTTAAATCAAAAATCATAGACCTCCAGTTTAGAGTTGCTTTGAACTATAATAAATAGAAAATTGACCAACATATTTGATGTGCATTGATGATTTTTGACAAAAAGTGATGTTTGTAACCGATTTCTCAATTGGTGACTGTATGTGATGTTTAGCTGAAATCTGCTACACAAGTAAACTTTATTAATTGATTAACATTAATTAAAAGTAGTAGTTCTATTGTAAGATTATTTCACTTATACCTTGGAAAAAAATGCTTTCCTATCAGCTATAATCAACTGCTACTGTTTAATTAATATTAAGAAATTATTGACTCCTAGATGCTGCTTAAAAGTTATTTGTAAGTTAGTTTAGTCTTATTTTTAGTGCTCTAAGATATTTGCCGTAGAAACTAAACCAAAGATACTTGATGCAAGTTCAAAGGAGTGTGAATAGCTTTGCAGAGCACATAATTGAAAACATTTTTGGTTGAAATATCTTTAAATAAGTCAAAAGTAACTTGAAGTGACTTTTCAGCAAAAATATAAGAGCTTATTTTAAGTCAATATATCTTTAATATTGATTTTAAAAAAGGATAAAAGTTCCAGATTATTTCACTTATAGCATGGGAAAATGTCATGTGAAATAATCTGACAGTTGAGCCAATATGTTTCCATCAATATTAAGGAGATATTGACTCTCCTATGAACGACCAGTCTGCTAAGACATTTGCAGTAGAAAATAAGACAAAAGTACTTCATAATGTTTTTGCAGTTCTAACATTATAATATTATTTGACCCTTTGAAAAATCTGAATTAATGAGCTACACAAACATTTAATTTTCCTTCGGGGTTAATAAAGTCTTTTTGAATTGAATTTTGTAAGGCCTCAGCATTTAGCTCTAAATAAATTTAGCTCTTTAAATGCATTTAGCTCTTTAAATGCATTTAGCTCTTTAAATGCATTTAGCTCTTTAAATGCATTTAGCTCTTCAAACGCATTTAGCTCTTTAGTGTCAAATGTGCCTGACAGGTGGAAACCCTTCGTTTCCTTCAACTTCCCCCACATGCATTCCTAACCCCTTACTGTCCTCATTCACATCTATATGCTCCATTTTTCCTTCAACATTAACTCATAATAACCCATTAAATATTAATTGGTTGCGTCAGCCACACGTGACGTGTAAAAACGCACCACAGCCTTAAGAGTCACTTTGTTTCCACTGTAAACTCACTATTTCTGCAGCGAGGATGGTGCCTTTCTGGGTCCGCACGTAACTTTTCAGCCTGTCCACGACGCCCGCAGAGGGAGCCTCGGTTGTATCAGCAGCCATCCCGAGAGAGAAAGTAAGGTGGAGGCCTTGAAGTAGCTCCCCTTTAGTAAAAGAGCGAGTTTGGATGGGCAAAAAGTTTTCCTTAGATGAGGTAATTCAGGAAAGAAGCAGTTTCCCCAATGTGGTTGAGTGCCGCTTCAGTTTCAGCAGATGGAGAGAACAAATCAGTCTGAAGAGAAAGTCTGAAATATAAACTGCTGAGAGACTGTTAGTCCAGGGCGGGGCCAGCGGACTGTAAGCAGGGGCGTTGGCGTTTCCCCTGTGTATGGAGCGCCGTTCATGGCAACATGCTACCACGTTGTGTTCGAGCCAGATTATGCAGTTGGTGACATGTGAGAAAGAAAAATTAAAAATTGTGGCCACAAGTTATTTTTTTTTCGTCATATGTCACCGGATGTGATTAGTACTGAAGAGGATATTTAAAAATAATAATTTTGACCTGTTTTTCTTCACAATTTTTACTATTTTCACCTCAAAGATGTGATATTTTTCACCTCAAAATTTCAGCGTTGATCTCAGATTTTTTTTTCTCCAAAATTGTAACTTCCTTTGCAAAATTTACTTTGATCTCAGAATTCCTTTTTCTCAAAGTTATGTTTTGTTTATTCTGACATTTTTCTCAAAAATTTGACTTTTTTTTCAGAATTCTCACTTTATCTCAGAATTTTGACTTTTTTTCCTCACAATTCTGACCTTTACTTAGAATTTAGATTTTTTTTCAGAATTTTGACTTTTTTCTCACAAGTCTGGATTTAATTTCAGAATTCCTTTCTTCTTAATTTTTTTTTTCACCCTTCTGAATTCTGACTTTATTCTTCTGAGACCAAACATCTCAAGTAAGAATTCTGAGTATAAAATCAAAATTCCCAGAAAAAGGAAAAAAAGTCAGCGATGATGTCTTGACAAAAGTCAACATCAAAAGCGACGCAAAATTTATGAAAAATTTTGTGATGCTACATGAGCTCTAGTAGCTCTCTGCACATTGTCAGAAAATAAACAAACCTTCAACCCTTCAACCACTTCCTGTCGTCATCTCAGTAGATTTAGTCAACATGGAAAGGGATTACGCTACGGTGTACAGATAGTTTGATTAGTCAAAAAGAAGAGTTGCAAAGCATTTCTGGCATTGAGACAAGAACATATAACAAATGGTACAAATAAAAAAGATTCTGGAGCCTAACAATATTTTAGTAAATACTAGAAAAAACAATAGCAGTACAATTGACAATACAGGGCCTATTGTATTTAACAAATACACAAAACGTGTCTGTTAGGAACTTCCTCTTTTAAATTTGCATAAGCCAGAATAAAACCAGTTTCGTTTCAATGCAATTCAAATCAGCGTTTAGGTGCAGAAATGCTTCGCTGGTTCAGGTTTATTTTCCATAAGAGGACGTTTCTCTGCTGGAGGAAAACGAGACTGAGCTGATTTTTAATTCATTCATTTTTATCCATTTATACGTGTCGTTCGTAGGTAAAAGCAAGAAATCCGCAGCATTTAAACTGGTCAAAACTGTGTGAATTTATCTAGACTGAGGACAGTTGAGTTGACAACAAAACCCATGTGATCTAAAGAAGTCTTACCTTAACATAAGTTAATCTGGTGCATTTTTATTTAAAATATGTTTGTCCTTCATCCAGTAAAGTTAGGTAGAGATTGTACTTGCAATACTTCATACTCAAAAAAGTAGTGATAGATGCAACTACCATCCCATATTCACATTAAACATAACAAAAATTACATGAAACAAGTGTCTCAACAGTCATCCAGAGACAATAAACACAATTAATTCTTCAACAGAATAATTTCAAGTTTATTTCATTTAGTTTCACATGAATCCCATATAATAAGAATACGGCAAAACTTTGGAGAGTCTTGAATATTTTTTTCCGACTTATCATCATCATAAATACTAATATGAATACATCATAGACAATAAAACACAGCACTACTTGAGGGCTTAGAGAGTATCACAAGACATCATTCACCACTAACGACAGACTATATTTCATTTCAGCATATTTATAAGAGCTACAGTGGAAGAGAAAGAAAGACAGAAAGGGAGAGAAAGCAAGTAGCTTCTAGATTGCCTGGCTCTAAGAACTCTGATTGAAAAGCAAAAAAAAAGGAGAGAGAGAGGGAACAAGATTTTACAATGACTAGAGATGCACTGGAGTTGAACTACGGCTGTTTCTGTTGAGAGCTGTGGAAGCTAAATGCCAATAAAACACATCTGCTATCGTTTGGCAAACATGCTGCTTGGAGATCCGTACGGAGGATGGGCAGCCGCAGCCGTACAGGTGTGTTTGCATCTGGATACAAGCAGTTATTGCAGCACTTTGTGCTTTCAGTAGATTATGGCAGAGCTGCTGTAATAATCAGTGTTGTGTACCAAACATCGGGTCTTGCTTTGTTCCTGAGCCTCGGCCTCTAACGTGGGATTATTGATGGAATGTCGGAGTAGGATGCACGCACTAAACCGGATTTCCAATCGGAAGAGGAGGAGAGTCAAGGGCGGGATGAAGACGGCGCGTTGTGTGTGGCACGACTATGATTTTTAGAAACCTAATAAACCCTCGTTTACGTTTTAATCTGTGTCGAAGTGATTAAAGTGTGACAAAAACACCATAAAAAAAACAAAACAAACACACACATCTCTGTCTGAGGACTTTCCGAATCACAAAGAAGGCGATCGAGAAAAGGACAAGATTTTTTTTTCTTTTTTTGACAATGTAAAATGAATGCCATCCAAACAAATACACAGAAACTCTTACTACACCATCTGATTTCACAATTTCCATACTGACAACACAGCAAATATGAGACGCCAAAGGTAATTTTCTTCTCCAAACGCACTTGTGATTTGCAGATGCCAGGATCAATAATAATCAGCGCACAACCAGAATGTATCCACTTGTGATATCAGATGGTTGAAAAATATATAAAAACCTACTTTCATCACTAACATTACCACTGTCACTCACTTCTCTATAGATAGATATCTTGGTTTTTAGTCATTATTTGCAGCCTTTGCCCAGATTGTTATTTTTCAAATCATTAATTCAAAGCAAATATTCAGATTTAAATGTGACTGTGAATCCGGTCAGTAAAGGTTAAAACTATGAGAGCTCCTAAACAGAACCAAAATAAATGCAATTGAATAACTCTGTGCTCAACATTTGTTGTATAACAACTAATATAGAGTGCACAATTATTCAACTGTGTACATATAATCATATATATATTTATATATCAGCAAGTCGATATTTACACAGCACAGACAAATACATTCTCTCAAGTTAAATATAACTACAATTTTTTCCCCCATCATAAATTTTCTCTGTCACAACAAGGTTTCCCTTACGAATGTTTTGGTATTTGTGTTCAAGTTTTTCTCGTATACCCAAACAGACAATCCTCTGTTGTCTTTTACAGTTAAATACATCACGAGAATAATCATCATTGTTACAGCAAACAGAAGAAATCCATTCCCGCCCACCCCAGAACCGACCCGCCCGTCCCCTCCCCGTATGGTAAGAGTGCGGCCTCCCCTGCCGCCGCCTGCCGCCTCACAGACACACAGACAGACACACAGCGGCGTGTGGAGACGCAGGTGGTGGTTGAGAAACGCTCCGACAACGACCAGATCGCCCTGAGGAGGAGAGAGAAGAAACAGGATGCACCAATCGATCAATCAAGTTTATCTGTGTGGAAAATTTCAGCACAAGGGATTTTCAAAGATGCTTTACATCACGGGTGTCCAAAGTAAGGCACTTGGGCCATTTGTGGCCCTGCGATTAATTTTGTGGGGCCGCTTACTGCAAATCAAGAATGGCACAAATTTGGTCATCCAACAGTTTATATCTCTTTAAATGGAAAATATTAATCACAACACAAACAATTCATTATTATTGTTGTTGTTGTTAGTTGTGCCACAAACATCTGTCATGTTTTTATTCAAAAACAGATTTTGATTCACGTTCATTACATTTTTTCAGACGTTAACTCAGAGGATATCAATCTTCTCACAGATTGATTGATTGATTACAAACATGGTGACAGTTTTAACAATTATGAAAAAAGTATGTATTATAAAAGTTACATACTGCAGCTTTTAGGCTAACTTACTTTCTGTCTATGAATTCGAAAGATTTCAGCAGATTTGAGTGGCAGCAGGTTACACTGACTTGAGTAACTTCTTTGAAAAATATTACTTTTAGAGGTATTTTACTGCACTGTACTTTTTCCTCTTATTTTATTATCAAGTATTTCTACTTTGACTTGAGTAAAATATCTGAATTTTCTCCCCACTGAATGAAAAACAAGTTTTTACCAGAAATCCACCAGATGCAGACACACATTTGCAGTTTTTGGGAAAGTTTCATAAGATTTTTATCGGGAAAAAAAAACTGATTTGGATACATTTACTTTTGCCTGATTTTGTTATTTTTTAATTATTATATCAATTATTGTCATTTTGGTCCTTAAAACACCAAAGGTTCCACTTAACTTTATATTTTGGTCTGTCTGATTTTGTAATTTTACATATTAAATGAGTGATAATTTGGCCAGTTACTCAGTACTTGAATAGACTTTTACCAAATACTTTTTGTCTTCACTTGAATAAAAATACGTTGACTTACTTAAGTGCAGTTTTGGATACTCTACCCACCTGTGTATTTTAGTTACACATTAATTTAAGACATTCTCAGGATGCGTGTGGATATCCTGTACTGACTGATGAACTCACCGTCCTGCAGCTGTTTTGGCTGAGGAGGTTTACATCTGGTTGGAGTAGGAGGTGGGCTGCTGATCGTAGCCCTGGTTGTAACCTCCGTCTTCATTGTAGCCCCCTTGCTGGCCGTACTCGGGCTGGTATCCGCCCTGGGTGCCGGCGTACGGGTCCTGCTGTCCGTAGCCTCCCTGGGCGAAGGAATCGGGGGCGGGCTGCTTCTCTTGCGATGGGACGTACGTTCCCGTGAACGCAGCCATCCAGCCGGTCTCTTTGAAGACGAACCACAGGTTTCCCACCCAAAGGATCAGATTGATGAAACCAAAAGCCTGGATGGAGACCAATGTTCATCGTAAGACCAACGTCAATCTCACAGTGATTCTTTATGCTGCTCAGAATCGGGAACCCACCACAGAGGTGTTGAGCCCGGAGACTTTGGGGTCGTAGACCTCTTTGCAGAGGTTTTCCCGATCGTCGCAGGCCTGGATGAGAGTGATCACCCTCTCTGGATCGGTGGCTGTCTTCACGTCTGACAGGCCTTTAGCCCAAGCACATGATGAGACCAGCCACATAAAGGCAAACACTGCTGTCACGACAAAGTCCTAGAACCAGAAAAACAATCAAATCTGTTTTTGAAACCAACAACATCATGACATCAGGAAAGCATGTCACTGTAATTCCATCACTAAATCAATCCCGCAGGATTTTGTGATTGGTTTTTTGTTTTTGATAAACCAATTATTTGTTTGTCTACTTTAGGAATGTTTACAACATTTTTTATTCATTAAACTCCTTCTGAAATTTGTATGTTGAAGAAAAAGCATAAGAATGAAGCAACAATCAGACAAATTGGACATGGAAATATTTTTATACTTTAGGCAATTTCAACACCTGTTAGTCTGATTGGGGACTAAATCAATCAGACTGTTCCCCTCCTCGCCTGTAGTGGCGCTGCAGCAGAAACTACTGCAGGAAATGACACAAAAACCTCTGAAGACGACATGAGCAGAACTTCCTTCTTCACAAAATATGAACAAAAATGATCAGCAGAGTTTTGTGGTTGTAGGATTTCTGTTATGATGTTGGTCCAGCCAGTGTTAGACTCTGATGTTTGTTTTGGTTCTGTTTACCCAGAATGCCCTGCGCTAACATACGGCAGAATGGCAGAAGTCAGAAATACTGCCACCTGCAGGTCAGGTGGGAGTTAGCATCACTCTCACCCAATGCTTTTGACCATTTTTGTGAAAATTTTGCAATAAACCCACAGCTATGATTTAGTTTGATAAAATGCCTCAATGAAATCCCGAAAACGAGAAGAATTGCTAAACGTCGTAATGTAAATATTGATAAAAATTAATCCAAGTTTTAATCACTCTTTTCTTTTCAAGGTGCTTAAGAAGAAGCATGTTTTTCTGATGCTGAAATCTACTTCTGGATGACATTTTTTTATTGCCCAGGAGACAGAAACAGAAATAAACAGTCAACTTTACACTCTATGTAAGTTTTAACACTTAATATTAAAATACATGTTATTTTGCATGCAAAGTATTAAAACTTTGTATGCATAGCTCCTAAAATACAAAATGTAAACCTACCAAGCAGTGGTATAAAACTATAACATTGCTATTTGACATTTTGCGCCGGTCAAGTTGAAAAATGTGAATGAAAGAACTCACAATCCGGGCCCCCTTGTTGTTTTCGCGGTACTTCTCCAGAACGAAACAGTAGGTGGCGAGGGCTGCCATGGAGTAGAGGAAGGAGAAGACGGCGATGGTTACGAAGAACTCGGCTGAAGAAGAGTAGTCCCCGACCAGGAACTGGCGGTCCGGTTTCCCTCCCTCGCAGGTGGGGGCGTCGAAGTAAACCTGATGGAGCCTGAAGACAAGAACGCAAACAAAAAGACACAAGAAGAAGAGAGAGAAGAGATAAAACAATACTTCAAGAAAACAACATGTAAATCAAATTATTAATTATTTTAATGACGTTTGTCGTACCTGAACGGGTATTCAAATTCTACTTCTATTCCCAGGTTACTATATGATCGGTTTTTACACTCCACACTCATCTTGAACATGCCAGAGTAGCTGCCACATGTCGAGAAGGCGAAGATCGCAAAGATCTGGGAAACATTAAAAGTAGAAAACAGAAACGCACAAGAAGAATTAGCTTGTTTTTCCAGACAATCTTTCAGGGCTTCGCATTGGACTTTATTTTCCAGCAAGAGAAGCCATATTCTTTCTCATGTAAGGCAACTTCCAACTCGACCAACTTGTTTACTTCTCTTAATTATATTTATAACACCTTTCAAAAGAATTGAAGATTCTTAAAATTGTCCACATTTTTTCATTGTTAAAAGCACAAAATTCAAAGTGTTCATAGACCAACAGATAATAATGCATAGCAATAACGGCCCAGATCTAAGTAAAAATGAGAATCTGTGACTAAACTCGAATTTCTTTTCAATGTGACTGAACTTCAACTTTCTGGTTGTGTGACGCTGCTACAAATATATCCCAGAAGACTTGCAGCTGTAGATTCAGAAAATGTTGCTTCAACATGTCGGATGTTGACTTTTAAAACATTTATTTGTATTTTAAAAAACTATTTAATTGGATTTAACACTCATGGCCTATTTTCAAAATACATTGAATTTTCTGACTAACATGACAAAAGGCATGCACTGCAAAAACAAAATCATACCAACTATTTTTGGTCCTTTTAGTGCAGTTATACTAGAGAATTTGATATAAGACAAAAATAATTAACAGTAACTTTTCAGCAAGATTTGGCAGCTTGTTTTTAACTTTGATGAAAAAGTACCAGTTCTACTGGCAGATTATTTAATTTGTAACATAACAAGATGAAATAATCTGCCAGAGAAACTGGTACTTTTTCATCAATATCAATGACTTATTTACTTAAAAAAGCTAATTTCTTTCTGAAACATTACTTGAAAGTTAATTGTGTCTTATATGACAATATTTGCACAAGACACTAGACCAAAGATGCTTGACGTAGGTTCAATACCTTTGCAGAACACATTCTGACACACTACAAAGCTTTTGGTGAAAATACTTTAGTGCACTTGAAATAAAACAAAACTAACTTAAAAATAACTTTTTATCACACTGTAGCTTATTTTAAGTCAGTACTTCCTTAAAATTAATGAAAAAGTTCCAGTTCCACAGGCAGTTTATGTAACATTTACATTGGAAAAATGCCTTGTTATAAACAAAACTAGATCAATATTAAGGAATTTTTGACTGCAAACAAGCTCATATATGTTGCTGTTTTCTCTTATTGTAAATATTAATAACTGTTGCTGTGTGCAATGCTTTTGGTTCCTGCCTGCAGCATCCTCCAGTCCCTCTGCGCCGTTGATAAATTCACACCAAGTGTAAATCAATGCACCGTTGTTAACAGCCAACACAGCACAGACTGTCCCTGTTGCCATGGTTATTGGGGAAAATTTTAATTTCCGCATAGCTGTGTTTTTTGTTTTGTTTGTTTTGTCTTTTAATTCCCTGGTTATGTTCCTGGTGAAAGCTGTCCGTGTGCAAACTGACCCAGACTCTCTCACCTACAGCAGATTAGAGGAGCCAGACTATTTTTACCACACCCTCCCGGTTCTGCAGGCCAGATCCGATCGGAGGGACAATCCAGCTATTAATCTGGCTGAGGTGCTTCTCCATCTGTCACCGGATACAGAGCTACAGAGGGAAAACACCCTCAATGTCCACGCTGCGTCTCTGAACTGACACACGTCACTTCCTTCTGATCGCCTGTTTTCCACAAACGGCGTTGATAAACGGCAAAAACAATATTATCGGTAATCTTATTATAATTATAATCGGCGATCGATAATCTTTCAGCTCATGTGACCAGGAGGTTTGTTTCCTCTATGTTTAGGTTTTTGGATGATGTTTTGTAACATCGGGACTTTTTTCACCGGTTTGAATAACTCGAAGTCACCCAAGGCCGCCATCTTGTTTTGACAAACGTTTTTTTTTTTTTTTTTTTATAGCTGCCGTTTATTTGGACTTTTATTTATATGACGGCCATTTTAGACAGAAAAAAATAGTAAATTTCTGTTAAAATGAATTAATGAATAATCAGATTTTTTTGTATTAATCAGAAAAAACAAAAATTTATCATTTGGTTAGACAAAAAACTTTTGAGATTAATCACAGAATTTTTCTAGAAAAAAGAAAACAAGAAAACTTCTGATCTTGAAAAGCCAATAAACTCAGAAATGTCGACATTAATCAAAAAACACTTTGACATTTCTGAGATTCAAAAGTTGAACATTTTTGACTTTTTAAAAATGTTTTGAGTTTGAATTCTTATGTTTTTGCACTAAGCACAACATAAATCCTAAATTCATAATTGAATGTATTCTAATGTTTTATCTCTATTGGAATGATTCAAACAGGACATTTATCCCGTTTTTACATTTATAGAACTGAATTTCACACTTTGAGTAAAATATTTGTATGAATCTTATATGTAAATTGGTGGTAAAGACAGTTTTTAATGTTTTGGTTTTTCTTACCAACATGCAGATGAAGAACAGGGTGAAATATGGCTGCAGCGGTGGTTTAATTCAATATTTACAGCTGCAGGACTCTGCTTGTAGTAAGCTGTTCTAAAAAAATAAAAACTACACCTCTCAGCCGGTTTAATGTATCAATTTCATCAAACCTGGAGTATTTACAACCCAGGTTTCAGTTTTCACAGATATCTTCTTTCATTATCTCATCAACAAACAAGAAGCTGCATTATGGGGTTTGTTTGCTGACTTATTTTTTTCTCATCTCTTTACAAAAATACAAAAACTTCTCAAACCTTGTTTTTCACAAACTAACATATTTCTGGGTGGTTGTGGTAGATTTACTCAAAGTACTGGATCTCTAAGGTTTTAAATAAATGATTAATACCACACAGTTGCTGTATCCTGAAAACCAACAATTTCGCTGTGAGCCCACTATTTATTTTCCTTTTCATACGAATCCTGGCTTGTTATTGGAAACTGTTTTATTCCTGAAATTAAATCCCACTCAAAAGCATTCATGTTACATAATAGCTAAAAAAAAAAAAAAAAGAAAATGATAGTGAAAACTTTCTTCAATTTTTGCTTCCAAATCTTAACGGTTTAAAACAAACACATTGCACTTGCAGATATCCAAACGTGGATGCAGGTAGGTTTTAAAAACAAGCACTGATGTTTGCAAGAAACAAAGTCAGCATTCTGTATTTCTGGTCTCTGCAGACAATTAGGGGAGGACTGGAGCCATGGCAATGCATCACAAAAAAAAAAAAAAAAAAAAAGTAATATATATATATATATATATATATATATATATATATATATATATATATATATATATATATATATATATATATATATATCTTTACCAAAGTATAAAGAAATCTGTTTTCTATGTTTTCTGTCTCTTTTGGTTAAAGAAATACAAGTCATTGTTTCAATATTCCTTGGTCAGAATATCTGATGAGAGTTTGTGCGAAAACATCTGTAATAAAAAAGTGTTTAGATTTGTTGACGGAAATTTGTGATAATTCTCAATAAACTGGAGGGACTGATTGCAGATAAAAACTGCATCGATTTGATTGATAACATAACATTTAATCACTTTTAGTGTTTAGAATCTAGAGGGCCACATGAAAAGCTACAGAGTTTGACACATGTGGCTCAAGCGGATGGTATTGGAGTTAATGTAATTTTGCCACAAAACAAATAAAGCACCTCACACTTTTTTTTATTCCATCCTTAATATGCATTAAAACATTTTTAAATAGGATAATTTTCTCTTCATATAGGAGATAAACAGAAAACAAGCCCTGGAGTAATAACCGAATGAAGCATCTGTACAGAAAACACCTAATGAGCTGCAACAAAATAAACACCTTTTATTACACATTACGGATTAACGCCGAGTGAATCGGGCTGTTACTTTGTGTTCTCGGCCTTTTAATGTTTGCTGAGAATGAGTCAGAGCATGAATTTAAATTCAGACCAAACCCAATGCAGCAGCGTGTTGCTGCAGCAGGAGAGGAGAGAAAACGGCCATATTTGGCTAAATGGGAGCTGCGTTTGGTAACTCACTGTCTTCTGACAACCAACACACCTTTCTCAGGTTTCACCCTTCATTATATTAGACACAAACAGAGGAAAGCACAGGAGGTCAAAGGTGACGCAGTATCATCGTATCAAGCATTTTAAGATATTTCTACTTCAAATATCTTAGTTCATTTGAAATAAGACAAAGTAGCTGAAAAATAACTTTTCCGCAAGATATAGAGGATTTTTTTTTTATGTAAATAACTTAAAATTGTTGAAAAAGTGTTAGATTTATTGGAAGATAAATTAACTTATAACATGGGAATAATGTCTGGTCATTAGTTAAATAATCTGAGTACATTTTTAAATCAACATCAAGGAATTATGGGACTTAAACAAGCTCCTATATCTTACTAAAAAGTTACTTGTAAGTTAGTTTTTTTCTTATTTCTCGTGAACTGAGATATTTGTATCAGAAACTAGAACAAAGATACCAGGTAAGCTGCATAGATCTATTCCTTTCCTGCTCTGATTTCACTGGATTCAGTTCAAGAATCTGGATAATATCACCGAGGATTGGCTCCTCTTCCCCCTCCTAAAAAATAAATAAATTCCTGTCTTCCTTATGATACATGCCCATAATAATGCAGGAAGAGCAGGCGCTCTGGCAGCCTTTCCTCCAGCCTGACGCTGAGGCACGCAGACCCTCTCTGACAGATGATTCATGCATCGCCCTGGCCTCCTGATTGGTCGGTTGGCTCGCAGTGACCCAGGGAGACAGTGATGAGGTGCTGGCACACTCACATAGCTCCAGGGAAGGACTACAGAGTCATGCAGCACACTCATGCCTCTGACTGCTGTGCTGCAAATCCGCAGAGGCTGTAACAGCGCGGAGCTGTGTCAACACCGTAATGTTTTCATCTGTGTTATGGCTCCTCTCTGGCTTGGGCTCTGACTTCCTCCAAAACCATCAAAATACTGTAAAGGTGACCTGTAATGCTTAGGATACATCTATAGACGATAGAAAACATTTCCATTACAGTTTTCAGCTGAGAATCATCATCAGTTAATGAGATTTTAATCTGTTTGAGCTCCTTTCAGATTGATCTGTTTTAGGGGCTCTGTCTCTTTAAATCCAAATGAGCTGCTGCTGGCCACGCCCCCCAACTCAATGATGGGAAAATGACTGCACACAGATGCACAATTACATAACCATACATGTTTGAAAAGCAAAAGCAAAACCTGCTGCAAAACCAAGAATGCAGCAAATACACAAAATCTTTCCAAGTAATTTTGGTTTAGTTTTTGGTGGAAACATCTTAGTTCTTTAAATAAAACAAACTAAGATTGAAGTAGCTTTTCAGCGAGATATAGAGGCTTGTTTTAAATAAATATTTCATTCAAGTTGTTGTTCTGTTGTCAGATAAATTAACTTATAACAAGGGAGAAATGTGTTCTTACAAGAGAAATAATCTGCCAAAAGAACAAGAACTTTTTTTAAATCAATATTAAGAAATTATTTTTTTAAAACACGACTTTCTTAAAAGTTACTTGTAAGTTAGCTTGTTTTATGTGAAGTTTACTAAGATATTTGCACTAAAAACTAAGCCAGAATTCCAGCAGCCATTGCGCAGTGCATACAGCAGTAAAACCAGCTGAACAAATGTGTTGGAGCTCAGCTTCGGTTGCTAGGCAACGGAGCAGGGTCCATCGAATGTGACTCGACAATCGGGAGGTTTTTGGATTTCACAGAAATCATCTCTGTGATTGTTTAAGTACTTTAAGACACAGCTGAGACCCAAATGGACGTAAAAAAATAAATAAATAAAAACTAAAAAATTTGAATTTTACACAATAGGACATCTTTAAATTGCAGCTCATACTGAAAAAACCCAAGGTGACCTTCTTAGTTTATTAACTTATTCCTACAAACGCATTGACATGAGAGTGGGCGACGTGTTCAAGCAGCTGTGGAGGTAAATGTGGGTCGGATAAACGTCTCCTCCTTTCTAAACTCTCCCAGCAGAAGCTAAAGCTAAACTGGAGCAGCTCCAGAGTCGAGCCTGCAGCATCGTCTCTGCTGCTGATGGAGGACAAACACTTTGGATGACAGTATGTTATATAACAAACAATAACTGCTTATCTAAACTAAAGAAGCTGTTCTTCATGCTTATTTTATATTTATTTTTTTATGTATTTTGAAATACATGATGCCCGACTCTGAATAATTTAAACAACAGCATTCAGTTTCCTTTTGGGATCAATGAAATATTTTTGAATTTGAATGTTTTGGCTGCCAGTAATGCAAGACTGTGATATTAAGCTATTTAGTAATCAATTATTCTATGTAATTCTGATGATTAATTGAATAAAAATAGGTTTTTAGCAAAACTGCTACATCAATTTCTTAGATATGTGTTTCAATTAATCCACTGTAATTGCTTGTTTGTTTATTTTTCACCTTTGCAACCCTTTGATATCTAAAAGATCTAGAAGGCATTATAAATAAAATATATTATTTTTCTTCTTTTCACATTTTGATAATTTCTCATTTAAAAATTTGATACAATATTAGACATAAATGAAAACTGAAATGCAACAGGAAGACTCAATTTTACATTTTGTAGATTTATTTGAAAGAAGTATGCTTTTCTGAGAAAATAGAAAATAAGGTCAATATGTTGTTTAATTTTGGATTAACTTAAATTATTAAATTGATAATAAAATCGACTTAAACTGCGGAGCTGTGTAACATAGATTGCTTTCTCGCTCACAAGCTGCTATCACAAAACAGATCAGATCACTTTCAAGTACCTAAATTAATTGGTTAAAAAACTATCTAAAAATATTTACTTGATGTAGCAAAAAAATGTCTAAACCAAGGATGCTCAAAGTAGGGGGCGAGGGCCATTTGCAGCCCCTGGATGGATTTTTTGCGGCCCTTTCCAACTACAAAAAGTAAAAAAATTAGGAAAACACTACAACAATTAAAATCTACTTATAAAAATGTTAGATGCAACACAAAGTGATAATGTATTTTACACTTTCTAGTTTCTGTTGTGATTTTCTCTAATCTGCTTTTTTCTGTAAACTTATTTAAGTCTTTTTAAAAGAATACTGACCCAAATTTACTTTGTTGTGACCAAATATGATTTTGTTACATTTTTTAAGATAAAGACATCTTGTTTCACGTTGAAGATTAAGTTAATTTCGGATTAATTTTTTGTTTTATGACAATATATTACGAAACAATGACTAAAACGGTTACATTTCTGAGAAAAAAATATATTTGTTGAATGGAAAACTTGTTCAAACTTTAATTGAGTTGATCTAACAAGTCAGTTTTATGAGTGTGTGTCATCACAAGAGAGCCCCTAACAATGAATTATGATTCTAACTCAGAATCATAATTCATTTTATTGTTATTATGCAAGAAAGAAAGCACAACAAAATCTAAAAAATAGTAACTCTGAAAGGCAAGTCAAAAAATAAATAGAATATTAAATCTCAACAAATCTAAAAAACATAGTAGAAACACAACAAGAATGTTAAGGAAAAAAATTTAATTTATTTTTAGTTTGCTAATCTTTTACGGTTAAAATCAACGGCCATAAAAACACCAGTATTGTGCAAGCTAATTACAAATTTGCTAGAAATGATAAAGAATCTGGTGTTGACTTGCTGGTATGGGGTAATGGGGGCCTCCAAGAGAAAATCTGCTGGCAGGCCCCAGAAAAGCTTTGTCCGGCCCTGTCTGTTTATGGTCTCTGCTACGTGAATGAGGAAGGAAACTTACCCACTGTAGTACTTTTATAAATCCCAGTGGTTGCTTGACTACAGTGAACTGCCCTTGGGCCACCAGCTGTCAACATAACAAACAAACAATAAGATGGAGCAGATTCTTTACAATATTTTTAACCGCAAAGTTATAATGAAGACGCTTTTCTAGAGTACTGAAAAATACTTCAGCTGCCACATCTTTCAGGTTATGAAATGCTGCGTGAGTGGAGCAGGGAAAGAGCTGCTGCCAGTAGTACAATTAGACAAAGCTGATTAACTGTTTCTGTCCTGCAGCATCCAGCGGCAGCCATTTTTATTTATGTGTTTTACTTATTTATGAGGGGAAAGCGCCTTAAATGTGGCGCAAGGAGAGGGTATTTGTGCGCAGGTGGATGCGACGCCGCAGTCAGAAGGTGTGCATCAGTAAATGGCCGCACATCGAGCGCCTCTCTCTCTCTCTCTATCTCTCTCTCTCTCTCTGTCTCTCTCTCTCTGTCTCTCTTTCCTGAGGTTGTTTTGTTTTCTAGGCATCCTAATGAAACAGGTGACAAAATCTGCTCTCAGATCAGCCTGACAGCTCGATGAGCGCCTGGTTTTCCAGAGCAAACATGAAGGGCTTTATTTAAACCGCTCGGCTGTTTAGAGAGCTGCAGGAGACCTTCCTCCTCCTCCTCCTCCCCCTCCCCCTCCCCCTTCTCCCCTATATGTTGGGCCTGTGTACTGCCCAGAAAATTAATCACATTCCGCTTTTGTTATCTTAGCAACAGCGGCCTAATTGAAACAGGAGCAATCTGAATCAATTATCCGAGTCTCTCTGGAGCGGTCGGTCAGTATCATCTCCTTCCTGAGCTAAATGTCCCTGCTGCGGCTCTCTGGACATCCTGCACAAGCGGGCCGCTCAGTCTGCAGCATCACTAGCTGGAAAAAAAATATCTATGATAATCCAACGAACAATGTCTGCGCAAACTGGATTATTATTGATATTATTATGATCATTTATCAATATTGTTGAATTAATATTTAAAATCCTAACGCTTGTCAGGACTGCATCAAAAATCTCCAACACGAACGGAGCAAATCTGAATTGAAAAATATCAATATCCCATCCCGCAACGCGATCTGTGCATTAACATTCACCGAAGAGCAAATGTAAACAGGAACAGCAGCAGAAATAGGGAGATAATTTCCTACCTGGTTCGCAACATCCATCTTGGCCGCTTACTCGCTGATAAGAGGATCAGAAGGGCGGAGGGAGGGAGGCGGCCCAGCCGGAAGAGCCCGGATGGAGGGAGACGTTCGGGTGGAACAGCCGGGCTGCATCACGAGCTGGGATTTAGGAAGCAAGAGGAAGAGTTGACGCCGCATCGGCCTCGCCGTAGACACCACACGTCAGCACGTTCGCCATGTTGTGAGTGGCGTGTTCTGCTTGGAGCGCAGATAGACGCGTTACCTTCTCTCAATTCTGGTATATACAGAGCTGGTAAGTAACTAGTTACATTTACTCAATTACATTGACTTGAGTAACTTTTTTGAAAAGAAAAACAGTTACTAGCCTACTATGCTGTAATTTTATTATGAAGTATCACTAACTTACTTATGGGTGAAAAGTAGTTTTTGACCACACCTGTTTACTTTCACCTCTGCTCTTACTGGAGTTACATTTCATGTTTTAACCAATAATTCACCAGATAAACCGATTGGTTCTTCTTAAAGTTTCATAAGCTCAATATTGAAAGAAACTGATATGAATTTTTTTGGCCCTGATTTTGCTACTTTTTGCAACTTATTATAATTTTTAAATATTAAATGATTGATAATTTGATCAGTTACTCGAGTAGACTTTTTACCAAATTCTTTTTTTACTCTTAGAGGAGTAATTAATTAGATATGTTTAACTTGTACCTGAATAAATATAATGAGAATGTGCTACTCTTACGAATGTATAATCCTTAGGAAACCCATTAGGCAAGATCACTCATTTAAATCAGGGTCCAAATTTAAGCAGAGCACAAAAAACCAGAAAGTTTATATTGATATAATTTTGCTTATTATTTTCATTACTCGTTAACTCACATATTTTTATTTTATTCAATTCATATTGTTTTTATATTTAGTCCTAAAACCATTTGAAGAGAACTGTCGAAACGTGACACTCACAATATGGCGTCCTCGTTGGCGTAAGGTCCTGACGCTCCCGAGGCTTCGTGCGTCTATGCCACAAGCGTATTGACGTCAGAAGGACTTGGAGTAGAACGGAGCGGCAGCGTCTGTCCAATCAGAGCGCAGCTTCGCTCCGAGGGGGAGCAGAGCGCATGGAGACAGTTCGTGGTTAAGTTCAAGCTTAAACAGACACAAGGAGCTGCGGAGAGCGGAAATGAGAGAAAAAAACAAGTCTAGTGAGACATTATGATGCAGCAAGGTCACCTGACATGAGCTGCGCAAGTAAAAACAAAATATGTTGGCAAAATCGACCTTATATTGAAGATAGTTCAGTTAAACCAGCCTGGAAAAAACATCTCATGTTGAACTAACTCTACCGTCTATTTCCACAGAATTACATTTGTTTATATATAGATTGGTTTTCAACAAAAAGAGAAGCAAGAAAATGGAAATTACAATTTTAAAAAAGTGAATTATTTATTTAAAAAATAAATAAAACTCAATTAGCTAAAATTAATTTAATTTAATTAATAAATACAATTTATTAATTAAATAATACATTTTGCATTAATCAAATTCGATAATTCAATAAAATTATTGAATTTAAATGAAAATTCAATAACAAAAATTCTTATTCTTGTTATTGAATGAAAATTAATTTTCATTCAATAATAAGAACAAATAGTTCAGATCTAGGATCTGTTCAATGTTTTGCAAAAAGAAAAAACATAAACAAACCAGATATTTACAAGCAATATTTAACAAGACATAACCATTTTTTTCTTACTGTCTGACAATAATTCTGACTAAACTTTGCATTTTAAATGTCTGTCAGGATTACTACAAATATTCTTTCTTACCAAAAGCCAGAGAAAAATCTTTAACTGTGTTAAAAAATTACTACACCTTTTAAAAATGTGGGTAAAGCCTCGGTGATGACGTCATGACTTTACAAGCCTCTGATTGGGTCTGAGTGACACAGGCGAGGATTTATCTGAAGAAAATCACTCCTTTCATGTGTGGCATCACAAGAAAAGCAAATCAAAACATATAAATAATTTCTATCTTGTGTAGTGTGGCCCTTTGAGTCGTTTACATGACCAGAAAATCGTCATCTTATTTACAGTTCTTGCTTTTTCGTGGGTATTTCCATCTTGCAAATTATAAGAAAATGACAGAGATGTAAAATGCAGCAACAATATTCTGCTGCGGACACATGCAGCCTATTGTTTGGCATGCTTCATCTCTTTGAAGGGGGAAGTGAAACCCAGCTGTCGTCCATCTGCCAGTCTATTAATCACTGATTGCATAATTCACTGGGTGTATTTCACTATTCCTCCTAACAGGCAGAAGAAATCCTCACACTAGTCCAATAAATAAAGGCAATAAATAAATGAATGACAAGTTGTTTGAGAAAACATATTTTATTTGCTCAGAATGTAAAGCGACCCGGATGAACGCTCACAATAATCCAGAAATACACCACAGACTTTTTTAAAGAGAAGTTTCAATGCTGCATCTTAGAGGATATTCAGTTTAATTTAATGTAGTTTCTCTAAAACTGAATTTAAAGATGATTTTAAAAAACATCCTGTGTTATGATGACTTAAAAGCAAAAGTTTATACTTGATGTTGCACTGTTGTGTGAATATAGAAACTTCCTGAGCCTCATCTGTGTGCATGTTTTGGCATTCACAAACAAAAGTATTTTATACCAAACATGATGTTTAAAAACTACAAAAAACACCATATTCGCTTTAAATAACTGACATATAAACACTTATAAAATATTGGCTCAAGACTTCATGTTCTTGCTGGTTTACTTTTTGTTTTTGGCGTTGCTGATCTCAGTAAGAAATCACGCAGTTCATTTCGTCGGCCAGTTCGTCCTCGAACCGGGACAGATGACTGGCTCCCCGCGCGATCAGGTCGGCCGCCGCGCTCTCCATTTCGTCCAGGCTCATGTGACACGCTTCGGCGATCTCCCGCTTGGCAAAGCTCACGAATTTTGGATCCCGGGCGTACATGCCGAGGCCCTCGGAGATCAAGATCTGTTGTTGTGAGAGTCGGAGGGATTAATATGTTGCTCATGTAGTGATCATAGAACTATTTCAGATAAATAAAAAAGTTAAACAAATAAATAAAAAAGCAGGAGGCAAAATTATATTGCAAGTAGGAGTCTGTGATTGCAGATCTGGTGATCTATGATTGATTACTTTGGTCTTGCAAGTTAAAAACTACAGAACGATTCAGTAAAGGGATGCATCAGTTTAATTAAGGTTAAAAAAAAATTCTTGAATGCAATTTAAAAAATGCAAAAAAAAAACAAAAAACCAAAGAGCATTAATTCTTTGAATGAACTAGATTAATAGAACTTTTATTTTCTTGCTTTTGAAGAAACTTCTCATTAATTTTTGAATCTGAGAATAGAATACGACATTTTCAGGAGTAAGTAAGCTAAAAAATAAATACTCGACTGTGTGTTCATACCTTCCCAAAATGAGCAGGACTTTCTAGGCAAACGATTCAATTAAAGCGACTAATTGTGGCTTTCTGAGAATCAGAACCAGCTCCACAGCAGTGATATTTGTGAAAGTTAAGTGAATGTGATGAATAAAAAAAACATCTACAGCACTTTGTAAGTAAAACGTACCGATTCGACCAGACTGTCTGCGCTGCCTTTATCTATGATGCCCTGGTTGGCCGAAGGCGGCATCCTGACGCTGGTGAAGGTTCTGGTCTGACCCGGGTACCAGCCCGGTCGTTTCCCTGCAGGGAGACTGGCAGAGCCGTCGCACCAGAGCGGCTGACTGGAGCCGCTTTCTTCGTCCACCAGGATCATGGGCGTGTAGATGAGCTTCCCGCGACGCGCACCGGGGGCGATCATTCCTGGAAGCGGGGTGGCTCCGGCTGCTGCCGTGTTGGCCCAGGAGGCGGACGACATGGAGGACACGCTGCTGGGCCGGGAGTCCAGGTTCTGCTGGTTTTGACAGAAAGCAGCAGTCGGTGAAGAACTCCCTGGAGGAAGACGAGAGCATGTGGTCTGTTTTTGGTGACTCTCACCTGCAGGCGGGATCTGGATGGAGACGTGTTTCCACGGTAGTTTCCAGGGACGGGCAGGTCGTCAGCGCTGCTCTGAGGCTTCAGACACTGGAAGTTAAACGCAGGCTTCCGACCTGCAGCAAAGACAAAGAATAAACGTCTCCAGCTTTAGTAACTGTTATTGTTAGTAAAACCGGCTCCATCTCTAAATTGTTCTCGATTTTACTTTTTTTTTCTTTATTTCTTTAGTTTTTTCAAAATAAGACGACAAACATTTTATTAAGTTAAATGAAACAAAATAGCAAGGGATGCAATTTTTCTTTAAATAAAGAATAATGTGTAAAATATAAGACATGAAAAAGGATTATTTAAATTCAGCTGAACCAAGCTAAACTAAACTAAGCTAAATTAAACTATAATAAACTAAACAAAACTAAGCTAAATTACACTAAATAAAACCAAGCATAGCTAAGCTAAGCTAGTTACATTAAACATGTTAATAACACTAGTTCTAATAAATAAAGTTTGTTCTTGACCTTTTGGAATGGCAGGAAGTAATCGCCTCCTCACAAACTGGGCTCCACTATTCTCATTTCCGTTGTAGCCGTTCCCATTATAACCAGTGCTCCCATTGTAGCCATTGTCGGTGTAGCTAGTGTTCCCATTGTAACCAGTGTTCCCATTGTAGCCACTGATGGTGCTGCCATTTTCATTGAAGCCGCTCACAGTTCTTCCATTCTCGTTGTAGCCGGTGTATCCATTGCTGTTGTATCCGTTTGGGTCGTAGGGAGCGGGGCTGATGGCGGCGCTGCCTCCATTCGTGTTGTTTTCACTGTATGCATTGCTGATGAAGCCGCTGGGGTCGTGACCTTCATAGGGAATTTCTCCTATGCTGTTGGCTACGTCCAAACTCTGGCCGTTGTCTCCTGTTTCGGTTGGTACAGGAGAAACTGCCTCTTGATACTCAAACCTGCAAGAATAAAGATTTTTTGTTTAAAGTTGACCTGTGATGCCTCTTTGGACAGATTAAGGCAGTTTCATAGACTACATGAAACATGTTCGTTGCATATTTTGCACAAAATCAATCTTAGATAGT